TTCGAAATTGTCTTTTTTTAGATATCAATTATTTTGCAAATGCAATTTCAATTCAAGAAACCCTATAACTTTGGACTGCCTCTGTCACAAGGGGATAAAATATTTATTTAAGAATATATTTGATAACAATGTGAATGTCTTATCTTATTAGGAGAACATCCTAACGATTTCATAGTCTTTTAAATTATTTTTTAAATATTATAATAACATTAGTCATTCATAGCTATATAGTCCATGTAGGAACTAAGATTGGAGAATGAACATTCCACCATCCTTCTATATTTTTACTTTTATCCTACAGTTTATGATATTCATAACTCTCAGATCTTGTCACTCCATCTCTTTCTTGGCTTTTCTTTTCTTTTCGTTGTTTCAACTTTATTCAGGAAGACTAGAAAATGTAAATTTCTCTATTCTTCTCTATTTTTACTCCTATCCTCTAGTTGAAGACAATCACATCTCTCAGATCTTGTCACTCCATCCCTTTCTTGGTCTTCATTTTCTTCTCGTTGTTTTCAATTCTCTTTCTAAGATTCTGTCTACTCTTCTTTCTTCTGGCATCCTCACAACTTGTCCTACCCACTTTAAACGTTTCTTTTTTATGCGCTTGATTATTGTGTCACCTTTCATCAGCTGATTGAGTTTATCGTTATATCAAATACTGACACTTTGTTTGCTTTGGCATCAATTAATCTCAAGGTTTTACTTCCATAAGTGATTACAGGCCGTATAATTTAATAAAAATAAATTAAATTTATAATTAATTAAATAATTTTAATAATTTTTTATAACAAAATTTTGATTTTTCTTGATACATTTTTTAGATGTCATGAGTTTTCACACACTGAGTAAGGACCTGTTTCCAGTTTATATTCTAACGAGGATATTCAACATCGTTGTGTTAAAATAATATAATATATTTATTAAAATTAAATTATTTTTATAGTCATTATCTATATCCATATTTATATTATATCTATATATATATTTATATATGGCGCTCAAGATAGTACCAACAAATTTGGTATCTGTTTACGGTTCAAAGAGACGATATACGTTCTCTCTCTCTCTCTTTGCACTTTATTATTAGAGAAGAAAGAATTTGAAATCTAGAAAACAACTTTAACAAGAATTAACAAATTTATTGAATGTTCATTTCACGCGTAGTTTTCCATATATATACACATTACGTACTTTAATCTTTGTAATAATAAGTTCCAAAATCATATATATATAGTGTTTACCATAGTATTTTATCGATATTGAGATATACATATATTTTAAATATAGCAAACTTATAAATAAAAATAAAATCTGAAATGGCCAAGCCTCACTTTGGGGAACGGTCTTCTCGATCACAGTAATTCCTACGCCAGATAAGTTTCTGACACACAACAAATATGTTATTGTCAATTTAGATTTTAAGTAAAATTCTATAATTTTTTTTTAAGTCTGTATGAATTTCATTGAATCAATAATAAAAAATTATAATAAATCTACATGTATATGTTTTGATAATGGGCACTGTTTTGATCTACCGATTTACGCTTTATAATATTGAAGTTCAATGTTTAACTAATCTTCACCTTATGAACCGTTATAAATAATCCATTTATTAAATTCCATTTTGATTTTTAATAAATTATATTTAAAATGCATATTTATTAATACTGGTTTATATGTAACGTATATAATTTATTATAAAAAAAAAATGTTACAAGTCGATTGATAAATGATAAGATATAATAAGGACAATTAAAAAAATTAAACTAATTTTATGGTGAATATAGATGTAAAGTAATAAGATTTAATCTAATTATTTTCACATTAACAAGATGTAATTATTTTTATACAAGTTACTTCTACTCTGATATTTAAAATAGTTATAAATATTTATTATAAAACCTTGATTATACGAACATTTTGTTCCTTATAGAAAAATTAAAATCTACCAAATGAATAATAAGTTCTTAATAGAACTGTCTTATTTAATTCTCAAGATAGTTCCAATTATAGTTTACTTTAATATTTAAAGATTTCTTAATACATTTAAATTAATAGACGTTTGGTGCTTTCATTCTGAATATTCCTTTGGAACAGAGTTCAGGTTGAAGAACCAAGTCAAATAGCAAAAAAATAAAACTAAGTGGAAACATAAATAAATCTTTTATAAATTATATAAATTACTTAAAAAAAATCTTTAATAAATTTACTCAAATACTATTTAAAAATTTAGGTCCCGACTAATTAATTGTCTATGTGCCATGAAGATTTAGGTCCTGACTGTTACTTATACTTCTATATGTATTGATAATATATAACATTTTTCTCATTCTCTTTTTAGATATTGCCAAATATTTAAATTGAAATTTTATAAAATATAGTAATATAACAGAAATATAATTTAAAGGATATGTTTAGGATCCACTTTAGAGATGACGAAATATCAGTATAAATATTGATTAAACGAATAGCCGATTCTTTATTTTTACAAGTGGTATCTATTTCATATAGTGTATGGTGAAGGTATGATGTTGGAGATATCAATATAAGGCATAAAAAATAGATAAATGGTTAAAAATATCGTTTTTAAAGAAATTCAGATTGTTAGATGGGAAGTGTTTACTATAAAAATACTAATTCTTAGTAAACAAAGGCATTGCTAGATGGCGATTGATCAATCTATTCAGACAAAAAGTATTGGTATGACTGAAGCCCTTATTGTTGCAATGCAATGATATATAATAATAAAGATTCTGGAACCAAGACCAGATAGAACTAAAATTAAGCAATGAATAATAATTTTCGTAAATGTTTATTTAAAATTTTCGAAAATAAAGCAAGAGGATTTAAGTTAAAGAAGAACTTATAGTTCATAGTTAAGAATAAACTATGAATACAGTTCTTTAATAAACGAATTGATTTTTATCGTTCGTTTTGACGAAATAAACTAAATTCTTAATATAAACTATTGTTTTCAATAGAGAGATTTTTATCGAACAGTAGTGAATTGTAACAACAAAAATTTTTAGTATTTTTTAAGTAATTGAATTTTCGGCTGACTGTACAGGTTTTTAGAGACTTGCCATATACCTATTATCACCGACTAGTCAAAGATGGAATATTATCACAAGAAAAAGCTTTCCAAAGGAGCTATCAAAAGGAACTACATGACTAATGCAATTTTGAAAAATTACAAAATATTAACTTATCGTTAAAAAATTATTGACCACACCTTTCAAAATTATCTACAGGGCCAAACAACATCACGCTCACTCTGTCTTATGTACACACATCTAACGAAAGAAATAGTTTTCAACAATTTCCATAGATTATTTGAAAGACCACTATAAAACCATATAGTAAGTAAGTAAGTTCAAAACCAATACAGGAATAGTCTTACAAATTTTCGAGCAAAATCATCACAGCTCAAGTAAACAACTCAAATATTAATTTCTGATTGGCATTAATTCTGAAAAGATTTTACAGATCGCTAAATAGTATAAGATTCATATAGATCATTTAACAAATCACTGGTAACTTAGAATCAACTCAAAAATTTGAATAGCTCTCTCATATTTTTGGAGCAATGAATATATATAAGAAAGGAACATAACATACGAATATGATATATGGAATACAGAAATAACATGGAACATTATAATACAAGTTTCAGTGGATCTGAAAGCTATTATAGGCCAGTTAGAGAATATTTACATCCATATAGTGCAAGATGTGATTTACAGCGCATGATGTGATAAGTAGATAAATCCCAAGATGTGATAAGTAGAATAAAGAAAGCCCTGGGCGCTTTTACAAGGCTTCGTGAAGTGTGGAGCTCTAATATTTATAGTTTACACACAAAGATAAAAATCTTTAAAGCATGCATTCTTTCAGTTCTCCTGTATGGTTGCGAAACCTGGTTTGTTATGGAAAACATATAAAGCAAGCTGAAACTATTTGTTAACCGCTGTCTCCGCAGAATTTTGCGTATTTTCTGGCCAAACAGATTATCAAATCAAGACCTTTGGACCAGAATAAATATAAGAGATGTCAACCTTGAAATTCGCAAAAAAAATTTAGATTGATCGGGCATACACTTTTAAAGACTCCTACCGAAATTTTTCAACAGGCGTTGGTGTACAACCCACAAGATCGCAGAGGAAGAGGTCGTCCAAAAACAACAAGGAGAAGGTCAACGTTAAATGAAAAAAAAAACCGTTTCGCAGCTCCTAGGAAGAAGAATAAGCAACATTATTGATATGAAAGACGTAGCGTTGTGGCGCGAAAGGTGAAAGCGACTTATAGACAGCTCATTACATAAGTATGTCCAGTATAAGAGGTTGCTCGAAATCATTGAGTCGAGCAAGGCTTATTATTATTATTATATAGACCAATATAAACTTATATATCACCTCGAAAAGACAGGAATTAAAAAAAAGGATTTCTTTTTATCGGATTGTGTTTCGATCTTTAGATCTAGTTTAAGCATAGAATTTTTACAGAAGAGGTTAAGAAAAAAAGGGGAATAAAAGAAAGGAAATAAAAAAAGGAAATAAGAAAATGAGGAAAATAAAAGTAAGGAAAAAGGTCTATTATAAAAATTTGGACATTGGATTAATTATTATTAAGCTATAACATAATTGGGAATAACAAAATTATTAATTTTTCATTTAATTAAATATTTTTAATTTTTATTGAATTTGAAAATGAAAAAAATTCTTACTAATTTATTCCTTTGTGTATTTACTTTAGTCACTGACGATAATATTTTTTTTAATTATATTATAGTTTTATATTGTCTATAGTAGCACTACTAAAAGTTATTAATTTCACTTTCGTTGCTTATTTTTATAATTGTGTTATTTCTAAATTATGAACTATAGTTTATTTACAGAAAAGCAATCACAATTAGCAATAAAATATTGTAAATCACAAAAAATGCATTTGTTAAGTAATTTTTTATTGAATAATATTTAAGATTGCGAATAATCCGGCAATTCACTGTGCGACATTAGTCGCGGAAAGTTAATCTGTTAATGCAATGTGCTTTTTGTGTGAAGTACAGGAAGACTTGAATTGGAATCTTACCTGCGACGGCTGCGAATTGTCGATGTCACTCAGCGGAACTTGCTTATATGCGGCGCTGTGCGGTATGTTGCCTTTAGACGGCTGTTGGATTGGTGCAGGTGTTGGCAAAGGAGTTGAAGCAGCTAATGCGGAAGATTTGTGTGGAGCCATTTGGGAGCCTGGGGAAGAGTTCGACGACGATGCAGCTGGAGACGGCGTTGTGGCACGGAACACTGGACTATTGCTGGTATTTGATTTATTGGTCTGCCATTCACTTGGTTTCGGAGGCAATTCCGGCGGTTGATTACGGAATATCGCGCTGTTTTCGGGTATATTTTGATACTTCGGCTGTGGTTTGGGTGGCGGTGATGGTGTGATAATTTGTACTTTTGGCTGGTAAGATTCATTAACGTTTGGCAGTAACTTGTGCAATTGAGATTCGTTATTTAAATCTGTAGTGTCTGGCGCGTAACCATTTAAACCAAAGAATTTTGATTTAGCATCGTTCAGAGCGGCTTTCACTGCGGCTATACTGTGACTGGCTTCGTTTAGTTCCGATTGCGAATGTTGACTAAGCGGTCTTTGCACTGGACTTACGTTCGCAGCTATTGTGTTTGCAACGGGTAATGCTTGTGCGGTTGTGTTGTTCGGTGGTAATTTGTGTGGTGTGGCGTAGCAGGGGGAGTTCAACTGACTGGTAATTTGTTGTTGTTGACTGTGATTGGAGCTTCGATTGCCATTTGGAATTATAGGCTGTTTTTGTTGTTGTTGATGTTGTTTATTATTATCGCTGAACTTAAATGATATTTCGGTGTATAGTGGAGAGTGGGGATCTGTTCCATTCAGCGCTGCTGTGGCTGCTGTTGATGATGCAGATGTCGATGACGTTGTTGGTATTATTTGCGGTTTAAGTTTTGCTGTATTCGTGTTAACTGTTGCGGGCATGCTGAGATTATCATAGACGCTTACTGGCCTGTCGTCATACACTTCCATTATATAGTCTATATTTTAATGGAAATTCTCTGTGTACTTTGTATTATCACTATCTTGTATATTTTGAGTGCAACGTGTTCGTTAAGTTATCGAGCTTTTGTTTTTCGTCGTTATTTATTCGGTAACTGTTGCTGTGAAGTATATAAATATCTCAATACCCACTATGGTAATACTGAGCTAATCCAATAAGTTATCATGATGTAACTGCTGAAATTAAATAATTAAAAAAGGATTAGTTGGAGATTAAAATTTTCCGCTTTTTACAACTATAATAAAACTT